TTCAGGTGCCAGGACGGTTACTATGGGAACCCAGTGCTGGGCTCGGGGCAGCAGTGCCGGCCCTGCCCCTGCCCCNCGCCCCGAGCCCCCTTGCCCTGGGCTGGCTCCGTGCGGGGGACAGGAGAGATGTGTTTGGGCAGAGCCGAGACCAGGCTTTGATCCAGCACTTGTGAGGCTGGGAGCGGGAAGTACCGGGAGAGAAGGAAACACAAAAGACAGTTCCAACCTAAATTTAACAGCGGGACCCTGGCCAGAGTCAGGGACGCCCTTGCCCAGCCGGCTCCAGCGTTCCTGGCTCCCCTCCCAAGCTGGCCCTGGCCCGGTGCTGGTACCCCCCAGGGACACTAGTGACTCTCAAGAGGATAGATCCATTCTGAGCCAGGGAGGGTGGGGCACGGCACAGTTCGTGCCAGCTCTGGTGGGGCATAGCATGGCTGTGTGCCTGGATGTGTGTGTGACAGTCCCGCAGAGCTGCTCAGGTGGACACTGCATGTCATTCCGGAGGGCTTTCAGACCCAGCTGCCCCAAATGACCCTGATTCCTCGTGTTGTCCCTGGAAAGCACCATCATGCCGGTGTGGGGGGTGCATCCTGGACTGCACAGTCGTGCTAGAGCCAGGAGAGGACAGGCACCAGCTGAAGTGCACCCCATGCCATACGCCCTATCGCAGTGCCATCTCCATGTTCCACCAGGCAGATCCCGTGGTTGCCCATGGACCTCTTGGCGCTTGCTTTCCTCCTGGGTAAGCATTGGCCTTGGGGGCACCCTGCATGCCCACACCGCTGGGAGCTGTGGTGGTTCAGGGACCCCAGTCTGGGTGGAGGGTGCTGGGCAGCGGAGGTGGTGGCAGTGGCGATGCTCCCTGCCTGGCAGCACCCACAGCCTGACTGCCACAAAATCCAGCGGGGAATCCAGGCTGCACTAAGCCCTGTCGGGATTAGCAAGCGCCTGACCTGGCTTCTGACTCCCTGCGGTGCTTCTCGGCACCCTGGGGCTGCCCGGGCCCCCAGGAGCAGGGGCAGCCCAGCCCCCCGTCACCCTGCTCCCTGCCCCTGGTCACGAGGCTGCGACGCTGCTGCCAGCACCTTTCCGGATCATGGAGCTTCATGCTGCATCAGTGGGTCGGGATGCAGGGATGGGACGGGATGGGATGGCTGGGGGTGGGGTGGGTGCGTGGGGAAGCAGGGGGTGCCCAGGAACCCCGGTGCAGCCCCCAGCCTGTGCCCTCATGCTCTCTGCAGTCGGGGGACTGGTGGCAGGGGGTTGTCAGGAGCCTGACCTGAGCCATGGCTGCGCCCGCGGCAGCTGCTACCCAGCCACTGGGAACCTGCTGGTGGGGCGAGCCTCCCGCCTGAGTGCCACCTCCACCTGTGGGCTGGATGGGCCCCAGGAGTACTGCATCGTCAGCCACCTCCAGGTGAGCCCACCCAGCCCCTGAACAGCTCTGGCATAGACCCACACAGCCAGGCACTGGTGCGGTTTCTGTCACCCATCCCTGATGGTGCCAATCCCTGGCACAGGACTCAGAGAAATGTTTCACCTGTGACTCACGTGACCCGTCCCTGCCTGAGAGCCACCGCATCGAGAATGTCATTTACCTGAGCAGCCCCCATGACAAACGGACCTGGTGGCAGTCGGAGAACGGTGAGGTCAGGGTGGCACTGGGGTTGCCCCAGATGCATGTGCTGTGGAGCTGCATGGCCATGGGGGTCTTCCCCAGCCTCAGCCATCTCTCTGTCTCCCAGGTGTGGAGCATGTCAGCATCCGCCTGGACCTGGAGGGCGAGTTCCACTTCACCCACCTCATCATGAAGTTTAAAGTGGGTTCTGGCACATGGACCCCTGGGATGGGATGGGACGGGATGGGACAGGATGGATCTGGAGGGGTTGTGGGTCTGGTCCCCATCCCATCTGGGTGTCTTGCAGACCTTCCGCCCTGCAGCCATGCTGGTGGAGCGCTCAGCAGACTTTGGGCGCACCTGGAAGGTGTATCGCTACTTTGCCTACAACTGCTCCAAGCTCTTCCCTGGAATCCCCAGCCACTCCCTGGGGCTTGTGGATGAGGTGCTGTGTGACCAGCGCTACTCCGAGATCGAGCCGTCCAGCCACGGGGAGGTGCGTGGGGATGGGGTGGTGCAGAGCAGGGCCAGGGGTCTGGGTGGAATGGGATCACACATTCCTTCCTTCTCGCAGGTCATCTTCAAGGTGCTGGACCCCTCCATCCCCGTAGCAGATCCCTACAGCCCAGACATCCAGGGTATGTTGCCGGGGTGTGGGGGATGCAGGGCTGGTGTCAGGGCAGGTGCTCACAGTGACACACCCCCAGACCTGCTGCGTATCACCAACCTGCGGGTGAACCTCACCAAGCTGCACACACTGGGGGACAACCTGCTGGACTCACGGCGGGAGGTGCTGCACAAGTACTACTA